GGGCTGGGGAGGGGGCGGCGGCGGCACAGCTGGACCGAAGGGGGCGGGGTCGGTCCTGGGCGACTGGCTGAGCCGAGGCCCGCGAGGCGCCGGAGACCGAGCATGGGACGGCGCGCCTGAGGGGACAGAGAGGGAGCACGCGGCCTGGGACCCCGACAGGGACAGCGAGGAAGGGGACGTGAGCGGGGAGGAGGATGCAACTGACTCGCTGCTGCTTCGTGTTCCTGGTGCAGGGCAGCCTCTACCTGGTGAGCCGTCCGCGGGGAGCCGCGCGCGGGGGGCCCGCGGGATCGGGGAGCGCGCGCACCTTCCGCGCCCGGAAACTTTCTCCTGCCCCCGGCAGCCCGGGCTCGGAGGGGGCGCCTGGAGGCCGGGGCAGAGGGCGGGTCCGGGCCGGAGGCCGGACAGGAAGGGTTAACAGGGGCGGGGAGAGGGCGCGGCGGCCGGCCCAGCCACTCCGCGGCGGGGGGCGGGAGGTGCGACCCGCGCTGGGTAAAAGGCCCCCGAGCCAGGTCGCGCAGGGCTCCGGGACCCTGCATCCCGGGACGCGCGGATGGGGGCGCAGGGGGTGTGGAGCTGGGGACCTGCCAGCTCGGGGGACCCTCGTTCTCGACCCCCGGGGCCCTGGGGTTGGAGAGCCCCGAACGCGCGGAGCCAGTGCAGGCGAGGGGCGGCCCCGCGTCCCCGCCGCCCGCCGCCCGCGTCCCCGCTCCCGCCCGCCCTCCCCGCCTGTTGTTTTCCTCTCTTCTCCCGGCTGCGCGCGGCCGGAGCCCCACAGGACCTGGGCAGGCGGCTCCCGCCCGGGGCGCTCGCAGCCGCTCATCTGGGCGCCCAGGACGCGAGGGACCCCAGTCCTGGCCCCAGCTCCCCTGCGACTCCTCGGCGCCCGCCCCCCGCCCCATCCTGCCCTGGAGAAGCCTCCTTCCCTTTAGACAATCATCCCCGTTGCCAGCACCTCCAGGCCACTGTAGGAAGCCGCTTCCCTGACCGGTCCTTACCTGTGGCCCTCTGCTCTGTCCCCTGCCCTTTAGCTGTGTCCCCCAGGGCCCAGTCCATACAGGTGGGCCGCCCTGAGCCCAGCCTTCAGGAGCCGCCCTCGATGGAGAAACTGAACCCTACGGGGAGCGGGGCAGCCTCGACCCCAGGGCAGAGGTAACTTGGGCACTGCAGCCAGCTGCAGGCTCCACCAAGGCACGAAGACCCTAGGTCCTTCTGGGTCCCTCCCGTCTCACTGGCTCAGGCAGCCTCCTTCCTCGTCCCAGAATCCCTGCCACGCTGCCAGCTGACCCAGTGCCCAGAGAGCTCACCCAGGCAGGGAGCTGAGCAAACACCAGAGGGCCACTGCCCTCAGGAAACGCAGGGACCTCTCCTCCCGGCGCCCTGCAGCACTGCCTGGGCCCCCAGGCCAGCCGCCTGGCTGTCCCCGCCACTGCTCCAGAAGTCCTCCCGTGTGTGTGGCCCGACGCCCTGGCTGAGCCTGCAGAGACAGGACGGGCCGGGGCAGAGTCTTACAGGGTATTTTGGGTGGGGTTGGGTTTGGCTCAAATTCTTTCTAAGACACCTCTGGCCTGTGCAGCTGGCAATGTGTGGTGCCGTGGAAGGCCCAGCCCCCAGCAACCTTAGCCTTGTGTGATATAACCTCTGAGCGGTGGTGTCCTCACCTGAGAAATGGAGTCATAGATTCCTGCCTTGCAGTGGAGATGACATATTGGCATGCCACCATCCAGCACCGTCCGGCAGAGACACATCTGTCTTCCTTACCCCGAGCCATCCTGGCTGTGCCACCCATTCCTTCCCCTAGCCCTCCTGCCAAAGCCCACCCTGCCTTTGCCCTTGACACAGAATTACGCCGGGTTCTGTGCTCTTGTCTCATTGTGGGTTTCCTTTGCATCTAAGGGCAGCAATTATCCTAGGGCACTGGGACATCCCAGAAGGCAGGAGCTGCACCCTGCCTGTAGTCAGTGCCCTTGCTGACTTGGGGCTCTCTGGAGGCAAAGCTTGTGCCTCCCCAGTCAGCCCAGTATTTCACCAAGCCAGGGACTCAGCCTCCTCCGTCACACTGGGGCTTCTGCCATCAGATGGGGTGGGCCATGGCCAGTGGCTGAGCCTTCCCCGGCAGACTGGGGACACCTGGGAGGTGGGGGCCGCGTGTCTCCGGGGCCAACATCTGCTGGAGAGAATTCCTCAGTATCCTTCAAGATGAGGAATCGTGGCCAGAGGCAGGGTAGTAAGGAGGGGACTGGGGATGACCCACGTATAAAGACACGAGACACAAGGGACCGTGACACAAGCCAGGTTCGAGCCCTGACCCCAGAGTAAGTTTGAAACACCAGGGCCCTCAGCCCTGAGTCAGCACGGCAAGGACGGGCACAGAGGTGAGCCTGACGGGGGGCTGTCCCCCAGGTCCTCGGGACAAGGGCGCTCACTCTCTCCCACTCCCTCTGTAGGTCATCTGTGGCCAGGATGACGGTCCCCACGGCTCCGAGGAGCCTGAGCACGACGACCACGAGAGCCAGCCCCGACCCCGGGTCCCCCGGAAACGGGGCCACGTCTCACCAAAGTCCCGCCCCGTGGCTAACTCCACTCTCCTAGGGCTGCTGGCTCCACCTGGTTCCGAAGCTTGGGGTGTCCTCGGGCAGCCCCCCAACCGCCCGAACCACAGCCCCCCACCCTCGGCCAAGGTGAAGAAAATATTTGGCTGGGGCGACTTCTATTCCAACATCAAGACGGTGGCCCTGAACCTACTCGTCACGGGGAAGATTGTGGACCACGGCAACGGCACCTTCAGCGTCCACTTCCGCCACAACGCCACGGGCCAGGGCAACATCTCCATTAGCCTCGTGCCCCCTAGCAAAGCCGTCGAGTTCCACCAGGAACAGCAGATCTTCATCGAAGCCAAGGCCTCCAAAATCTTCAACTGCCGCATGGAGTGGGAGAAAGTAGAACGGGGCCGCCGGACCTCGCTCTGCACCCATGACCCAGCCAAGACCTGCTCCCGAGACCATTCTCAGAGCTCGGCCACCTGGAGCTGCTCACAGCCCTTCAAGGTCGTCTGCGTCTACATTGCCTTCTACAGCACGGACTATCGGCTGGTCCAGAAGGTGTGCCCAGACTACAACTACCACAGCGATACCCCCTACTACCCTTCCGGCTGACCCTGGGCAGGCCTCGGAGGCCAGGCTAGGGCTGGGAGGACAGGCCCGCCCGTGCAGGACGCCATCTGCCCGGACACCTGGCAGGAAGTGGGACCGAAGGGCCCCGGCAGGGACGGGGAGGAGATGGGGAGATGCCGGGTAGGGCCCAGCCTCGGTGGCGGGCGGGGCAGCGTCCCAGGCTGGCCTCAGCCCGAGGCTGTGCGGCCACTAGCAGGTGGGAGCCCTGGGGGAGGACAGCGTGCCAGCAGCCTTCCCGGCTTCGCCACCAAGCCGCAGGCTGCTGCCAGCACCAGGCCCCCGGGCGAGCAGACCATAGTGGCCCCGGGTCAAGTTTGGTGCCCTCCCTGCCCTCCTGAGCGAGGACAACAGCAGCAGAGGGGCTTTCAGGAGTCAGTGTAGGGTGCATGGCTGAGACGGGGCATCCCAGGAGACTGCAGTGGGCAGCCCCGAGCCCCTTCCCTGCCCCGAGCCTGGCATGAGGCTGAAGTGGTGACCCTTGAGGTCCTTGTTGTTGTGGCAAATGGTCCATCAGTCTCTGCCGGGCTACCCTGTCCACAGTTCCCTCTCCTGCCAGCCCTCCACACCCTCTTCGCTACCACCCCTGTCCTTAGGCCAAGACAGGACAGTCTGGTCCTCGTAGCACCACGACCATTGGTAGATGCCCACCAGGGCGTCGTGTGTCTCTCCGCCACCACGCGTCCCTCTGCCGCCACACCCCTTGCTGAGAGTGGTCGCTCCATGGTGAGCCTGCCTGTCAGACGGGGCCCTCCCTCCCCATCCGTGAGGCGCCAGCGCTGGCCGGGAGGACGCCGGGTCTGCTCCCTAGTGTCTGTCTGTGGGTGGGGGGAGGGGCGGGAAGTCTTGTGAAATCACCTGACCGTCGACTTCTGTGTGCAGAATCTTGTCCTTGGAACAGGGAATAAAGCTTTCCCCAGGCAGCTGCCTTCTGAGTTGTCCATGGGAGAGGGCCCGGGTTCCTTGGTCCGGCCTGTATTTCTCAGATGGCAGCCGGACGTCGCTGGGGACCAGCGTGCCAGGGCTCCACCAGCTTGGAGCCAGTGCTCAGCGAGGCTTCTGCGTTGCCTCCTCCAGCTCCTTTTTGGGGCTGTCGGATCCAGTGCCTGGAACCAGAGCACAGGCCCTGTGCTCGGTGCTCGCGGGGGGCTGGGGCGGCGTCTGTCTTCAGGAGCAGACTGGTGGGCAAGTGTGGTCAGCAGCGGGTCAGCTGTTCTCCCGAACGGCATCCATGGGCCCCGCTGGGGCGGGTGTGGGTGCCCAGGCTGTCTTAGCTCTGTCATTGCTCTTCTGGGCGACCTCGGCCAGGTTGTCCTCTATAACACAAGGGCCTTGTGCAGCGCTCAGGTCCTCAGAAGAGAGTCTCAGAACCATGCGGGTTCCCAGTCCTCCCTACCGGAATTGGTCTGGGTGGGACCAAGGACTGCATCGATAACCGGCGGCTGTCCAGGTGCCCCCAAAGTCACGCACGACCCCCCGGCTCCTTTCTGGCTCTGGCTTTGTAGGGCGAGGTGCGTCCTCCAAGCTCTCACGTTGATTCCCACGTGCATGTTGTGGGGCAGGGTCCTTTCCCAGCGCCCAGCCCTCTGGGGTGTCACCGGGACAAGGAGGCCTGAAAGCAGCCCCGGCTTCCCCCAGCCCGCAGGAGGCCTGCGGAGTGCACGGCTGCATGAGCGTCTTCTCCAGGGGTTGGTCGGCGTCCTCACACAGTGCCCTGGAGGCCGTCCCGGCTCTGGCTCTTGGGTGCTTTGGCAGGGCCGCCGTGGTGGGAAGTCCTAGTATGCAGGATGGATGCCACCTCCAGCCTTCGCCCTGGCTGCCCCTCGCTGGCTGCTCCCTAGCCCCACGGCCCCTGCCGCACAGAGACGGGGGACTTGGGATTTGCTTCCCTGCAGCCCCTTCCCTGGGTAAAGGGACCCAGGAAGGGCACCTGGAGCTCTGTTCCGCTCCAGCACCCCCTGCACCCCGCTTCCTGGGCCACTTCTCCCAAGCAGGCTAGAGACACGCCCAGCCATGCCTCCGTCCCTTTGCGCAGGGGGCCTGGGGTCTGGCCCCGTGGTGGAAGGCATGGGGCTGCTGGGGTCTTTAGGGTCCCTGGGCCCCTGTGGACACCCCAGCAACATCCTGGAACAGCTCCCCTGGCCTGTGGGCTCTGGGGGGAGAGAGGAAGGAGCGGCGGGCCTGGCCCCCTCGCCCGTGGACTTGGGGCACTGTGACCCCTCCCCCCCTCCCCTCCCACGGAGAGCCAGATGCTGCCGACAGCTGGAGGGCCCGGCCTTCCTGGCACACAGTTCTGCCCGCACAGGGGGTGGGTTCATTTTAATAACTTCATTTCGCCCGCGTGCACACTCGGCACCTCATTCGCCTTCCACAGGAACCAGGCTGCTGTTCTCGGCTCTGCTTCTGCTGACAGATTTCCTCCCAAACCCTCCTTCTGTGGAGTGGCCCGCTGGGTCCCCGCGACTCTTCCCAGATGCTTTCTGAGCCCCTTGGTCACTGTGACTTCCTTTCGCTGAGAAGACGCCTGTCCCGGCCCCGCGCATCTGGGTACCCCCCGGAAACGAACCTAGGCACCCCAAGGGCTCCAACCTCTGCCTCTGCCACCCCAGCCCTCACCCCAGAGCAGACCCGTTCAAAGTAGCCCGCCTCCTCCCAAGAGAAGATTGGGGCCCTAGCCTCACCCCAACTCTTTGGCCTCCCCGAAATGCATTCCAGGGCACTCGGAAATCTCAGCCTGCCAGCTTTCTGCTTTAGCCTGGGAAATGGCTGGGTGGGCCTGGGGCAGAGGCCCAGCCTCCCTCACCAGACTGGAGCCTCCCTGAGGCCAAGAACGGTCCCTCGGAAGGGAAGGGGAAACCTTGCCCTTTGCGAAGCCTCAGGACAGCTGGAGGCTGCCTGTCCCCGCGCTCTGTGCACACCGCTGGTCTCAGCGTCCCTCGGTCTCCAGGGGCAGATCGTCCCGCGTCTGTGCGAGGGAATGTGTGTCAGGTCAGCCGGCAGCGGAGCTGGAGCTGAGTGTCCCTCTCCTCGCGGCCTGTCCTCCTCCCTCCGCCCCCTCCCCCAGCCGCCTTCCGAGCTGAGCAGGCGGGAACTGAGTCACCCCTTTCCCCATCCTTGGCAGGACTGCCAATGACCTTGTGTGTGGCAGGCTCCTGCGACGAGTCCATTGCTCAGAGCCACACGGGGTGGGTGGACGGGAAGCTGGGGGAGGGGCCTTGAGGGCAGCTGAAGGTCACAGGGTGGTCAGGGACAGGAATGGGGGCGTGGAGGGGTGGGGGAGGCACAGTGAACCAGTTGCTCTGTGGGAAGGGATCCAATGTAATGACTGGGAGTGGGGGAGAAATGTGACTTCCGAAGACTCTGAGGCCTGTAGCACTGCCAGGAGAAGAGAGGCTGGGGTGACGGGTGACAGGAGGCACCGTCAGCCCCACTAGGCAGGGAAAGGTGGGGTGGGGGCGCCACTTGCCGATGATGTCAAAGCCCTGTTGTAGCAGCTGATGCCGCGTCCAAGGCACAAATGCGGGGAGTTGGGAGCTGGTTCTACTGGGTTCTCGCTTCCTCTGGCCGCAGGCTCGGCTGGGCTGGTGATCAGTCAGGCGGAGGATGCCTGACTCAGGGCATAGGGTGCCCCAAGGGACAAGCTAGCTCCTCTTGAGCCAATGAAATGGCATTGCAGAACTGGGCGTGGTGGTACCTGCCTGTAATCCCAGCACTCTGGGAGGCTGAGGCAGGAGGATCACAGGTTTGAGCTCAACCTGGCCAGTTTAGCAACTCAATGAGACCCTGTCTCAAAATAAAAAAAGTACTGGGGGATGTGGCTCTGAAGGCCCTGGGTTTAATCCCGGTAGGGGGCTCAGGGTGACAACAGGGGTGTGAGGGAAGCTCTGTTTGGGTCCCCACCCACGCCCTGTCATTTACTAGCTGGGTGGCTTTGGGCAAATGACACAACCTCCCAGAGATTCCTTACATGAAAAACTGTCATTCTACCTATCTGGAAACATTGTTGGGAAAATTAAATGACTTGTTCTTCAAATGCTACTTCCCCGGGCATGGTGGCACACACCTGTCATCCTTGCACTTGAGAGGCTGAAGCAGGAGCATCGCGTGAGTTTGAGGCCAACCTGAACTGCATAGCCAGGCCCTATCTCAAAAAACAACAACAAAAACAAAACGAAGCAAAAATGCTACTTCCTCCTCTCTTTTGGAGACAGGTTCACTGAACTTTAGCCTTGCACTGCCATGGACAGGTGAAAGGGCCCAGGCTGGAGGGAGGCGTCCCGGGCTCTTGTCCTGGTTCTGCCCCATGATGCATGTGGCAGAGAGTGCAACTGCCCCACGGAATCTGCTTCCCTTTCCCCTTCATGATGGGACCCTCAGCTGTTAGCTGGCGTACGGTGGCCTGGAATTAATACGCATTTCTCTGCTTCCCTTCACCTAGAGGTAGCCATGTGCCTAAGATCCGGTCAAGGACATTTAAGGTGAGTGATGATATGGGAGGGTCTAGAACTATTTTATATATATATATATTTTTTCAAATTTAAAAAAAAAATTTTTTTTTGCAGAACTGGTGATGAACCCAGAGGTGCCCTACCACTGAGCTCCATCCCCAGTCCTTTTCATTGTTTGAGACAGGGTCTTGTCAAGTTGTCCAGGCTGGGCCTGAATTTGAGAACTTCTTGACTCAGCTTCCCAGGTCGCTGGGATTAATAAGTGCACCGCGGTGCCCAGCTCAGAAACCTTTACTCCTTTATTCCAACTCCACCCTGTCACCTGCAATGTTAAACTAGAAGGCAGAGTGGCAAGCTGAAGAAGCCTTATGTAAGCCGCTATGTCCTGGGCCTGCATCTCTAGTGCCACCTGATTCAGTCATGTGTTGGAGCTCCTGCTCCTGTGGACCTGTGTCCTCATCTGCAGGATGGAGGCGATACCCAGAGTCGCCGCACACCAGGGAGGCTTAGACTCAAAGGCCAGGATGGACTTGGGAAGCCCAGTCTTCCTCCCCTCGGTGGCCTCCGTTTTTGGAGGTACGATAGCTGCTTGATTGCAGGGACCTCAGAGGGGCTCAGAAGGATCTTCTACCCTCGTCTGAGGGGCCTCCTGTCCCCAAACTCAGCCCCACACATCTGAGTCCCCATCCACGGTCTGATGTTGGTGACACACAATCCTTGTTAAGGGCCTGACTGATCCCAGCCAGATGGGATCCTAATTTAATTAAAACCCTTTAATTACCTGCAACAACACAGCTTGGGAGGGCCAAGGCAGAAGGGGGCCCGGGCGGGAGGGGCTGCCCTTCCAGGCTTTGGGAACCCAGGGTTGTGAGGCGCCGCTCCCACTGGTGGGCCCAAGCCACTTGCAAGAGCCAGGTTGGCCTGGCTTCTAGCTTGGTCCACAGGGCACAGTGGAGGGGGTGGTGCCTGCCAGCCCTTGGGAGCCAAGTGCCAGGCTCTCAGGCCTGAAGCTGTCAGTGTCGATTTCACGCTGGGAGTGAGACCAGCACAGGCCATTTAAGGTCAGGTCCAAGCCTCCTGAGACCCTGCCCTGCCCAGGGTGTGCTGGGGAGGCGCAGGCCTGGCTCTGATGTCTCCCCGGTACCCTGGGTTAAGCAACAGGGGCACCTGCTCACCCAAGCAAGGTGAGCCACGCCTCTAGACTTGGTCTTTTCTCAAGGTGCTGTCATCCTGGGGAAGGGGGTTCCAGGAGGTGACTTGGGTGGGCTGCAGAAGGGACCCATAAAGCCCCCACCCTGGTGCTGGGCCCTGAAGGCTCCTCCCCATGAAGGCAGAAGGAGTCTCGGCCAGGCCAGAGTGTGCCAAGGCCTGGCATGGGCAGACACAGCAATCCAGGCCCGCAACTGGGCTATTTTTAGGCCCTGTGGACATCATCCGTTAATACCCCTTCTGTTCTCCCTTAGTCCTTGTTCACT